AATTTATATGAAAATTTGAGCTACTCGCCGCTTGCTGAATACATATATGTATGTATGTACTCATGTATATACTATATGTATATGTAATAAAAACTGTTGCCTCCTTCGCTTCGCAAAGGGCGTGCGTATTTAATGCGAAAATAATTTTAATTGTAACAAAAACAACAATAATGCCAATAAAACACCACCACCAACTGTCACAACAATGATAAAAGTCATAAAGTGTGAATTGGTACACACAGCAGTGTCGTTACGGTGGTGAGTCGACCAAAATCGAAGACGAAGTTCGCACTTATAAATTCGCCTTTCCCGGGATCCGAGGGGGGGTGTGTAGAAAATGGGAGAAACAGTTTTGAACAGCCACAATAATCGAAAATTCGTTACATCACTCAAGCTGGCACTCTAAATGCTCCTTCAACCTACATACCTACACATACATATATGTATTTAAATATGCAAATAAATAATAAATTATAAAGTCTAAAGTGGTCGCAGGTATGATGGGTACTCACTTGAGGGCACTCACTTGATGGCACTCACTTGAGCGCAAAGGAACACAAGAAGTGATGGCGTGTGGCCAAAGCAAACACAGGCGTTGGAAGAAGAGCGAACCGGAGGCGGCCGCAGTTGAACAGTGTGAGGCACGGGTAGGCTAAAGGCTGAAGTAGAAGGCTCGAAGAGGCGCAGGATGCCAGAGAGTGACACAGCTTGGCTTCCGGTATTCAAATTATCGTTTGGTCAACAACAACAAAAACAACAACAACAGCAGAGAATTGATGTGCAACGAAATGAATTGAAATGGAATGAAATCAATGGAATAAACTCAAATACGCATAAATAACAGCCAATAGCAGCAGCAGCCGCAGAGACCGCAATATTGAAAGACTTAACCAGCAGCAACAACAACAAAGGCCTGTATGAACGAGGTAATGAATTGTTGGTTGTGGCAAAGCTGGTGGCCGAGCGGCTTTTGTTTAATTACAATAAACATTTTAAGCGCTTTAGTGAAGTGAATTTTAAGTCTTAACGGGCCTTTGAGGCTTCAGCTTCCTTAAAAAGTCAATATATCAAAGCTATTGCTGTTCTGTAGGTTGCACATGTAGAAGGAGACGCGGGTAGACATTTAGAGCTGGAGTTTTCACATTCCAAATCAGGCGATGGAGCGGAAATAGTAGGATCGGCTTGATGGGTTTGCTGCGCGGTGGACACCAGGTTCTGAAGAGGTAATGTTCGGTACGGAAAATGCACTGCCGCATAGATAATCTGCGATATATCGATCCCAACAGAGAACACCTAAAACTGATTACAGGTGAGCGGGTCAACGAGACAGAATAGAGAAAACAATTCAAGAAGATAAGCTATAAGGAGCTTCCTATTAACGCTTGCTCGGTGTCGATATCGTAATACCGTAAAACAAAAGAAAACCGGAAACAGGAAGAAAGTAACTGAAAGTAATTAGTATCGTATGCCGGCTAAAGTTAGATTCTGGCTGACTCTTGGAAGTGTTTGCCGATTTGGGAACATCGGATCCACTGAGGCCCACTGCAGTCCCATCCACCAGCCATTTGGACTACGAAATGAGTTTAAATTGGCTTCTCTTGTGCAGCTTCTGCCACTCAAGAAGCTCCTAACCTTTGTACATGGATCCCAATTACTTCTCCTTCCCATCCACCGAGCTGTGATCAGTGACAGCGCACCCTGGGAGAGTAAAAGAAATCCTTATATAACAAAAGCTAGTCTGCTGGAGTCGTACTTTGAGCAGGACGCGCTGTAAGACAAGCTGAAATCAATTTATCTCCTCACTCCAGAAAGAATTTATCGGAATTTATTCATAAATTTCCTAATAAATAATATAAATGTCTTTAAACAACAGTCAATTTGTGAAGAGCCCATATTTGTTCTCTAAGAGAGCCTTTATGCAATGGCATACATACATACACATATATCTATAAAACACTGAACCATAAAATATTAGTGGGAAATTTATATTGAAATGCCACTTGCTACTTGCCACACGGAAATCTTGTGGCAAATAACTAAAATTATCTTCCACACACACACACATACACATGCTGAAACGTAGATAGACGTAGAAGACGCCAATGGCGAGCAAAAGCAAAGTGGGCATGTCGAAGAAGAAGAAGCACACAGAGGTTTTTATATATTGTAGTTGTAAGTATGATATTATTTGTGTATTTATGTGTATGTATGCGATTATTTGCATACCATGTAAGTATGTATACAAGTATATATATACGCACATCAGTTTGGTATGCTGCCAGTGGCAAAGTCGCAAAATTTGCGGTTTTCATGTAAGTAGAAACAGACAGATATACATATATTTATCTAGAATAGTTATGTAGAAATATGTATTTATGTACAGAAATATATTACATATTATATATATATACGCATATATGCATGTATCATTTACATAAAATTATGTCAAGTGGCCAAAAGCTTAAGATTTCCTTGCCCGACTCCGCACAATTGTTCTTGCAGAAATCGAGTTTAGTGCAATGCAATAACAAAAACAAAAACAAAAAATTCAATTCTTTTAAGAAAAATTATTAGTAAATTTTTTTCTTTTTTCAATAAATAAAAATTAATTTTCGATAATTTTTGGTCTACGGTTTCCTAATACCGTGAGCGACCGCAATAGCTGAGTGATTAGCATTGCGGAAAGCCATTCGAATAGCCAGAGTACGAGGCTTGATTCGACAATATCAAATATTAAATTTCCCAATGTATTTCTGATATGAAAACCATCAGCTGTTTTAAGGCAGCTTTTTTTATGAAAATCCGTAAAAAACCGAAAATTTAATTCCTTGAAATTATTTAAGTTTTTTTTAACGGCAATTATTACTTTTAAAATTTTATTATAATTTTTTATTATTAATAAAATCGCCTTATTTAATTTTTTTATTTAAATAATATTTTCCTTTCCAATCTATTAATAAGATTCAAATTCTTTTTTATTAAAAATTTATACTTTTCTCGCCTTTAAAAATGAGTTCATCAAATTCATACCAAACAGTTTGAGTGGCATTTAAACAATGTAGAGTCACTTGCGCCTGAATGCATGCAATAAATTTCATTCGAAACCCATTAATTGCAATAAATAGAGAAAAAGCAATGCAAACAAAGGTATATAAAACGAAAATATATTACACGTAACTAAATTTTACTGAAACTATTTTTTTGTTGTTTTCATTTGCTATTATTAATTTTTCATAAATTATTTGCATATTTTTTAATAATATTTTATTAATTTTGTTTACCTAATGACGCAAATAGTTCAATATTTTCTTGCCGAAAAAACTTTGGTAGTTAAAATTCACTAAAATTTTTTCATAACATAGTTTGATAAAACTTTTATGAACTAATTTTTTATTTAATTTATTTTTAGAAAAATGCTGATATGTTTCTATTAATACATATTTTTAAGTAAAATGTTTTATATAACTAATTTTAATTAAATCTATTTATCATTTTTTATTTTCGTTCAAAATTTTTGTTAAAACTGTTTGTTAGTATTCTTTTAATAATTTTTTCTATTTATATTTTTTATTAAAATTTTTTTTTAGTAAATTTTTTTAGTAATTTTTTTCGGGAAAATCTTTCATTATTTGGTTTTTATTACGAAGTTTTAAGTATTAAAATATTTTTTTCTTCACTTTTAGAATTTCCGTAAAGTTTTGTGCTGTATTTTTATTAAAATTTCCTATTAAAATCTTTATCAAAATCTTTATTCAAACTTCTTATTTAAATTTATTTCAATAAAAGTTATGAATAAAAAATTTCTATATATATATTTCAGTAAAATATCATATTTTAATTATTATAAATTTTTTTTTTTAAATTTTTCGTTCAATAATTTTAAATCAACTTTTTATTTAAATATTTTTTGTGGCGTTTTTTTAGGTAAAATATTTGATGAAAGTATTTTTTAGTAAAGTTATTTTCTAAAATATCTTCTGGAAAAATATTTGAATGGTTTTTTTTCATTAAATTTTTTTATTAACGAATTTTTTTATTTTATGATTTCAAAAAAAAAGTTTGTAAACTCTATATTAACGGTAACGGTTAGGGTGAAGTATTTTTAATTTAAATATTTAATTAAATAAATGTCTATCTCCCAGCTAAATTTACCACCAAAAATTACACAGAAGGAATTGAAAAAACCAAATCATTACGTCAGGGCCTACGGCCAATGAACGTAATTTCCAGAGTTAATTAACCATGGAAGCGTGAAAAACTCACAAATCACACACTCGCAAAAAAAATTAAAAAAAGGATTGAAAAAAAAAAATACATCTGAGCAATAACAATAAAATAATAAAAAAAAAAAAACTGTGTGCAGCAAACAAAAGTGAAAAGGTAATCGATTTGCGACAAATAAACATATGTTCTATCGATTGTTGTTATTGTTAATTACAAAAAGATTTTTTCTTTGCATTTAACTTGCCACAATGAATCACGTCATGCTCTAATATGCCTATAAATGTTTACAAAAAAAAAATAAAAAAATATATAAATAAATAAAAAAAGCAAAACTCAACTTAATGACAAACATATACATGTGTGGCTAATAATAAGCCGGAAGCTGTAAAATTAGTTGAGTTTGTGGCGGCAAAATGCGTCAATACGCTGTGATGGCTGAGAGGAAATTTGAGCAATTTTTTTTTTATCAAAACCTTTTTTTCTTAAATAATTAGTTTTCTGGACTTACTTAGCTGTGACCATTATTTCAACAACATTAAAACGACTTTTGAGCCCCCTATAATAAATGGGTACCACGCACGTCAACTAAGGGTTAATGGGGTCACAAAGCACCATTAGTGGTATTCATGACTCAATAATCGTAAAAAAAAAAATTAAAAAAGCTAAATGTATATATAATGAGTTGTATTAAATTTTTTGTAATAATTTTATATTTTAAATAATTTTTATTTTCTTCTTTTTTTTTGTTTAATAAAAATTAGTATTTTTTTACTCACCTCAAGTCCTGCCTTAAACTTTGATCGCCTAATAATAGTTCAGTTCTACCTTTTGATATGCTACTATTTGGACTACTACTTTTTAATGTGTTTATTTGTAATTGTTTATTATTATCATATATTAAATTTGTTGTTGCTGCTGCTGCTGCTACTGTTGTATTATTTAGCAAATCATTGCTATTTGCATGCACGTTGACACTTTGTGTATTAATATTAATGTTGTTGTTGTTATTATTATTATTCGAACTCGGTTCAACATCAAAGTGTCGGCCATCATCATTATGTTTAGTTAGTAACTGGAAGAAGAAGAAGACGAACGAAATTGTTAATCAAGAGTGTGAAATTAAAAAAAAATAAATGGAAATTTCAATGTAAAAATTTTACAATAAAAAAAAGAATTCAAATGAACTCAAATTCGAAAATGTAAAGCAAATTATTTATTTGGAATTTGAAATATATATGAAAGCTTCTAAACAATTATACAAAGTATTTTCTACTAAAAACTACTTTTCCTTTAATATTTCCTAATAAATACTATTCCATTTAATCAATAATAATAATTTAAAAATTTAATTTTGCACTGAAAAACAATTTATTTCATTTTTAGTTCAATATATTTCAATTTAATTTATATTTTTTATTTCTTTCTTTAAATTACTTTAAAGTTGGTTATATTATATTTAATTTTGTGTTATTTTATTTTATTTTATTTTATTTTATATTATTTTATATTATTTTATTTTACTTTATATTATTTTATTTTATTTTATTTTATTTATTTTTTTTATTTTCAGGTTAAATATTTAAAAGTAATTTGTACAAAATTCATTTAAAGGAAACTTATTTACTGAACTCTATATTTGTCGATAATAAAATTTTATCGTCACAACTAAAGTCAAGTGCTTCACTCAACTTGAGAGTTCAATTTACGATGACCCCTTTTATCAAATATTTTTGAGTTTTCTTTTCCTTCCCTTCACGCTTTTATTACTTAATATGCTGAATTTTCATAATCTGCTTGTGACAGTCATTTGTCGTCAGACATCGCATGACAATTTAACACCCTTCAAAAACATAATTCGATTCATACCTCTTAAAGCAGATATGTTAGCAGCAACCCTTCGCCAACTCAGCCAAGTCACACATCAGCCGCCCACTCTCTCCATTCTCCAATTCACAGCTAATTAATCATTAAGTAGTTGAGAGCGAAGGCAAGAAGACATGAGAAAGTGTCAAATCCTGCTGAGCATTTACGGCAACTTTCCACAAAACTTTTTGGCAGCCAATCGATATACCGAAAACTGCCTACATACATACATACATACATACGAGCACATATCACCGTTTAGCTGTGTATGTCAACATTAATCGCATTACTATGGATTTATTTATGTATTTTAATTAGAAATTCCAATAGAGGAAAGGAATTAGATTGGTGTTGGTTTTGTTGTTATTGTTTATTGGCTGCCGTCTTGACAGTCATTAAAGGGTAATTGCTTGTTATAAGTGTTTAGAATTCTATTGAGAGATTGAAGTGAATGGCTTTTTGTACGATTTTAGTTGAAGCGAAGGTGATATCGTAATTGATTAATTGGAAAATATGAGAAGGTTGTTTTTCATGTGCATTTACCTTCAGTAGCATAACTGAGAAATGTACACGTAATTGTATTCATATAACGAGCTTTCTCTTAACTGTGCACTGAATGCAGAAAATTTTGAAACTTTTGATGAATAACAATAAAACACAGGATATTTGTTAACTGAGGCATTATGGTACTTATAATACATATGTAAATTCTATTCAAAGTTTCTGATTTGCGTATATATAACTTACAATAAATTTGTGTAAAATACAGTTTTGCACAATATCGTAAGCATATAATGGAAATTTGTTATGCAAAAGATGCTATTTCACTACAAACATTCAAAATTAGCTTCAAATTTCAGGAAAATCATATTATTCTAATATCGTAAAAAAATTTAATATTGTAAGTTAAGAAAAAAACTACTTTCTTGTGAAAACAAACATTTTTGCTCTATAGAAATCTTAGGAATTCGGTTAAATCTCTGGTAAAAGTTGTATCGACCTCGACAAAGAGAACCAATTTTTATCGTAGACTATGAAAGCTATATGTTGTTGGTAAATTTTAAATTCTAAATTTGAAATATATTTACATAAAGAAACTCAAAATGTTGATATCGTAAATTTAAATTAAATGATATTTAAACAAAATGAAACACATTTTAGCACTCATAGCACTTTCAACTGTTCTTGACGATCGTATATTTTGTAATATCGCAATAATAAATAAAAGCAAATGTAAAATAATTCATAACTAAAGAAAATTAAACACATCTAAGCACTCTTGATACGTTCAACACTTCTTTTAAGATTAAAGGTTTTTAAAAATTAATGTTTTGCAATATCGTAATTTTATAAATATCGTAAATTTGAAACACATCATATTTTTATAGAAAATGAAACACATTCAAACACGTTTCAGTTTTTCTAATAACGTATTTTTGAAACTAACATGTTTTGTAATATCGTAAATTTTATTAATATTGTAAATTGAAAATAAATCACTTTTAGACAAAAGACACACTTTCACTACACATTCTCAACAATTTTAGCAAATTGTCTTAGAACGTACATTTTATAATGCCGTAAGTTTTTATAATATCGTAACTTTAAGATAATCTATATCAAGTAAAACAAAATGAAACACATTAAAACTTTTGAAAAAAAAAACAAATAAAACACACTCAACACAAAGCGAATGAAGATAAAAATCGTAAATCACTGCAACAACAACACTGCATGCAACAACCGATGAAGACATGCCGCCTCCTCGTCAGCATTCACTCACCTCTCGTCTCGGTGGTTGTATATTATTCGATATTAACAAATCACAATTACTACTAATACCACTACCATACGCCGCGCTACTGGCCGCAGCCATAGCTCCCATACCCGCCCCAGCACCGGCTGTAGGCTGAACTACGATAACACCAGCAGCTGCCGCCGCCGCCGCCGCTGCCTTATTGTTGTTACTAACGGCAATTCCAGCCGCGATATTGTTATTGTTGTAAAATTGTTGTTGATCCGCTACGGCCGCTGAAGCGAATGCCTGCTGCAGATGACTGCTGGATATGGCTGTTGAGTACTCGGTTGTTGGTGTAGTGGAACCGCCACCAACTCCGGCTGCCGTAGTGCTCACTGCGCCCGTCGGAGCTGTTGTTGCGCACGCAGCTGGCAGCGCAGCCTTTAGTTCGCCCACAGCGGTCGCAGCCAACGGTGAGGTGGATGTTTGTGCGTCGACGAGTATTGTGCTGGGGATCTGCAGCGGAGGCGGGATGTGCGGATGCGACTTCGTAGGCTTCAGTTGCATGGCTGACGCTGGCGCTTGCTGCTGTTGCTGTTGTTTCTGTAGCTGCAGCTGCATCTGTTTCTGCAGCTGCGTGGCTGCCGCCGCGGGCAGCACCACCGCCGACGTGACTGGTGGCAATTGTGCGTGTTTGTTGTCGTATTTAATAAAGTTAATGCTACAGTAGTTGGCCGCGTCCATGCCGATCAGATCGTCATCGTCGATCTCCTCCTCTGCGACAGCGAGATGCTGCAAACTACTCGCTATAGTGGGCGTTTGCAATTGCTGCAGCTGCGCCAGCTGTGCCAACTGGGCGGCCTGTTGCTGTTGAAATTGTAACGTCAATGGTGGTGGCGGTTGTTGTTGTGCCTTACCAGCGCTGGCGGGCTGTCCCGTCGCCGTCGCTGCCACTCCTGCGCTACTGTGATTGGCTAGTTTCGTTGCTGTGGCGGCAGCCATGGCCGCCGTCGTCTGGTTAGCATTCCGATCCGCGGCGCCCGTCGAACTCTGCGGTCCAGCGCCATGCACAATCGCCGATGTTGTGCTGATGCCGGTCGCACTCGCCGTGGCGGTGGGCGCGATGGTTGACGAGGTAATCAGACCGGCAGTGGCGGCGGTGGCGGTGGTGACAGTCGAGCTACTGCATGTGATCTGTGTGCTTGTGAAGGAGGTGACGTAGATGGGCGAGGCCTCATTCAGGAAGCTCAGGTCTTGTTTCTGCGTGGTTAGCGAGTCACCTTTGAGCTGTTGCAGCTGCAAAGAGAAGAGAAGAAAAAGGAAGATGATGTTACTTAGTGCTTATGGCTGAGTAATTTAGAAGACAAAGTAAGAAAATCAAAGTTCAGATAATTTTTCATCGCACAACTGAAATTAAATATTCGAAGCCGCGCCTTCATATTGCGTGCAGGCGACATAATTTGCGTCACAGCTAGGTTGTATAAAATTGTCTGGTATTCGAAATTTGCATGGCGTAAATAAAGATTACCATTTTCTGACGAGCTCCACGACAACAGTAAAGCGGGCTCACAAGGGAATGCGTCAGAAGCGGAGTGCTTGCTGCGGACATTGAAGGAAAGGAGTTTTTCTCCGCTGCATAGTCTACATAGGACTTGGATTGGCGTCTATAACGACTTAAAATGGTCCACTTGACAATGCACTGGACAGGAAGATATAGAGCTCTTGTACAATTTCATACCGAAGGAGGTGACGTAGATGGGTCCAGGTCCAGGTAATGGTTGTAAACATTCCTGTTTGTGCGATGCCAAGTCTGTGACCGAACTCCTACTGTGATCGATAACAAGTTATGACACCTGGAGTTGCGGCCAACGGTGACAGCAATTATAATGCTCCTAAAGTAGATTAGGCTTCAAGAATTCACAGGAAATTCAAACTACAAAAACTCTCAATCTTAGTAGACTTATGAGTATAAGTTTCTGAAGAAAAAACGAAGAGTGTCCCATAGACATATTGTAGAGGCGGCACGCACCAAGAAAGACTATTACAAGCCCGAAGGAAAATTTGTCCCAAATATTTGTGGTGAAATGAAAAGTTAGTACATTTATGGTCAAAAATTTTTTTTAATATCGTAAAAATCATATTATCGTATAGCATAATATGACATTCAAACGAGAAAGCAAATACTTTGTTAAAAAGTAAACAATTTTATTGTAAATTTTATTATCGTAAAACTAATGAAGTAAAATTAATATCGTAAATTTTATCATTATCGTAAGCTGAAAAAATGAGTTCAATGCACTTTTAGTTGAACTTATTTCAATAAAAAATATTCTTCTATAATGTAAATCTTCACTAACATCGTAAACGATTACTAATATCGTAAACAAAAATAATTCATTATAAACTTGTTTCAAGTCGAAACTTATTATATTTTTCAAAGATCGTAAATTAGCTAATATCGTAAATTGATACGCCCTAAATCTAAGCAAATAACCAAAACTTTTAACACAGCGAACCAACTATGCGTGCAATGCGCACGTCTTAGTCGATTTTTCTGTAAAAAAAAGTTTGGTTTTACCACTGAAAACTTCCACCCTCTGACTCCCGGCCTTTCGTTTGCCATTTAAAGTGGCGCAAATTATTGCAATACACTCAAATATAGTAATTTCCGATGCCATTTGTGTGCCATAAAATTTATGCAAAGTGCCAGAGACACGCCCAATGTCTAGACAAGGCGGGCGAGAGGCGAGTTGAAGTAATAAAAGCTTGCAATTTGCATGCAAAAATAACCAAGGAAGGGCCGTTAAAAGATATTGATGCAAAAATATATAGAAACATATGTAGATGCTGGCATAACAACACACAGTGTTACTCAAAAATATACGTCAAAATAGGAAAAAAAGGAATTCAGCGAATCCAAGGAGACTCAAGACTGAGCTAAGAATGCAGATTTTGCGTGGAAGCAGCAGTCAGAGCTTGGAGAGTTGGAATAATCATTTTTCCACTTGTGAATGTGTGCCTGTGTGTATGTTTGCCTTTAATTTAATTTGCTCAAACAATTAAGCTGTTATTGTCATCAAACAGAATAATTACTGACAGCTATTACAGCAACAACTACAACACAGAAAAATATATTTGAAATTTACTCGAACAAATTACGACTGTGACCAACAATACGTACTCGTATGTACGTGTATGTATGGGTATGTTGCAAGGCTTTGTGAGTATGAAATATGTATGGACCAGCAGCAACAACAACAAGAACGATCGAGTTGTGGAAGGCAAACAATTTTAAGCGGATTGCAAAAGTTTTATACAAACTTATACATATAAGCACACATACACATGCACACAGGAATGTATATACTTATATGTATGTACATATGTATAAGCAACTGTGCGCAGCTCTTTTTATTACATTCAAAGTGTTGTTGTCGCTGCTGCTATTGTTGTTGTCACCGTACATACATACATCTGTATATTGTCAACGACAGCCGCGCGTTGATATGCATGGCAAATTTGTTATGACAGTGTATAAGCGATTTTCATAATTAATAGATGAGTGTGACACATATGCCAACAACAAGAACAACTGTAACAACAACACGGAATTTTAATTTTCCCACCAATAACACCCGGAAAAAGGCGCAAATGTGTAGTGTTGTTGTTGCTGCTGTTGTAGCTGTTAATGAAAAGTAAAATAGTAAAAAAAAGTAAAATTTTCTTTGTTAAAATTGCTTTAATAACATTTTGACAGCTGTCAAAGGCAGAGGCAGAGAAATTGTTGCAACACGCGAGCTGCATACATACATATGCGTGGAAAATCGGGTAATAGAGCGTAGCAATTGCAGGAGCATAAGGTTTGTATATGGTTTTTTTTTTTTAAATGAAATAAAAACTATATTATGAACTACTCTCAAAGTGACTACTTTGTCACTAGTTGTCACCGCATATTTTTTTATGAGTTAGTTATGCTTTTAAAAGCAAATATAACTAAAAATAAATACTTCGTTTGTGATTAGACCGAAAGTAGTTACATTGTCACTACTTCAAGAGTAGTCAGATTTTTATTTATTTATTATTTTTTCTTTTTTGCTTTTTTGGTTTACTTTGAAGCTCAGCTCAAACAGACTGCAGTTAATTAGTTGCTTACTTTTAATATATTTATTAAATGAAAAAGTTGAATAGCTCGCAAGCACATTGACCTCCGACCGACATTCACTAGCGACCCAGATCATTGAACTACAAAGAGTAATTAAAAATAGTAATTTCAAAAAACGATTAAGCGACTAAGACAAACTCATAAAACACTGAGGAAGCAAGTAAGGCAAAAGGGTGATGATGATAAATTGGTGGAATGAAAAATTGTGGAAAAACTATAAAAAAAATAGAATTTAAAAATTAATAGTTTTGCTTCTAAGCTCATATCCTAACCCACAAAATGGATTTTCGTTTAGGTCCTCTAAGCCATCTTGAGAACAGATTCTGTGCGGAGTCGTCAAAAAGGTAAGATCTTCAATTGCTGAAGTATGACTGGAAGTTGCTAGACAGCTGCAAATCTCCCAAGACTGTTTTCTAAGTCTTCCAAATATCGCTTATTGTGAGAAGAACCCTACCAGATATTCCGGCTCAAAAAGTGCCGCTTCACATATTTAATCTCATCATTTACTTATCGCAAGCCACCTCTAATCACAGTTTACACTTATCTCAGTCCACAGAGCTTCGCTTTTTAGGTCTCAAAAATACGTCCCCGATTGTCGAAACCTTAGAGAGCCCAACAAGGAGATCTCTAAACCATAAGTAAGCATCTATAACTGTAAAGGCAAACGGCGAGATCTTATGAAAGCACACGAGTTTTTCTCTTACCAACAGCCGACTGTAAAAGGACTTGGTCTTTAGATAGCCAGTAAAACACTTTGGAATACCGATACCCGATCTTTCTTACTAAATCTATATCTAGAATGCATCCCACTGCCTTTAACACAACTTTAAGCTCCCTAGCGCACTCAGAGTCGAGCTGAAAAATTACTAGCAGCATAAGGAGACCTGTCTTTCCGACTCAACTTGCTCTTTGGGTCTTTTGTAACTATTGTCAGACGGATAAATCTTCTCGGTTGTTACCCGCCTAGTGTGAAATTTTCCTCCTACAGAGCTTTAAGCGCACAAAGCTCAACTAACTGAACGAGCTTATTAAAGACCACACATCCCTTCACTTTCAAGCACATGGCAAACTCATATAACAGTAAATAAACTTGCTTTTCTCTACGCTGCACGTCAAAATGTAAAAATATTTTTTTCCACCCTTGTGAGCTTTCGAAAATTAATGATGCAAATAAATTTGAAATTCAAAACAATGTGAAACAATTAAATTCGTAACAAAACAATGCGGCTAAGAAGTCAATTCCGGCGGGGGGAGTAGCGGAAACAGTAGCAAAAAGCATATAAAATTAAAAACAGAATAGAATAGCTCAGTGAGTTGCGCACCGAGTTCGAGTTCGAGGCGGGACGGGACGGGACGTGACGGGACGGGGCAGCTAGTTAGTTATTAAGTCAACGAGTCAGCGTGCCAATGGAGCTGCAATTAACAATAAACACATGTGGCGGGTTCCAGCAGTGTTGGCGGTGCCAGCGTTTGGGGAATGAAATGTACACACATATATGAGTCAGAGAAGTCAAGTCGAGCAGCTGACCAAACAAAGCGCTTATTGACAAGTTGTCTAACGGACTAACTAACTGGTTAGTCGGTTCGTTGGCTCGTTGGTTGCTCGGTTGGTCGATGTGTTCCTTTAATTGTTTGTTGGCTTTGGTGGCGAGTTGGTTGGTCGCCCGTTGTTTAGCCAAACATGTGGGCACTTCGTTATTGTTTTTTTTTGTTTTTGTTATTGTTGTGGTTGGTTTATGGCGTGGCGTGGCGTGTCATGGCATTTTGTTTATTAAAATTCCACATAAAGCGTGAATGGCAGACAGACAGTTTTAGTATTAAAAATTCATAGATTTTTACGAGGCGTTGCGGCGCCCGAACCAAAGAGTGAAAGTTATGAAGTCATGTGCATATATGCATATGTATATATAAGCCAATGATTTTAAAAAATATTGTAAGGCAACGAACTTCAACTGATCCAAATGTAACTAGTATCGGAGCAGTTCATTTTTACTCTTTTTTTCAAAAAGTGAAAGTTATGAAGTCATGTACATATATACATACGTATATGTAAACCAATGATTTTGAAGTTATTGAAAGTGAACGAACTGGTCCAAATGTAGCTAGTATCGGAGCACTTTATTTTTACTCTTTTTTTCAAAAAGTGAAAGTATGAAGTCATGTAGATATATACATATGTATATGTAGTCAAAGATTTTAAAATTATTGAAAGAGAACGAACTGGTCCAAATGTAACTAGTATCGGTCCAGTTCATTTTTACTCTTTTTTTCAAAAACGCTTCAACGACCGTAAATTTCAAAAAAGCTATGTACTACTCTTATGCTAGTCTTTTTTTCGAAAACGAGCTTGTCTATTATATGGCCAGAGTATTTCTAATTACTTTGAGAAAATTTTAGCATAAACAAATTTTTTTTTAGTCCAAGTAAATAAACTTCAAACTGCAAAAAATTAAAATTAGTCCAATTGGAAGCACTTTACAGCATTTCGGGGATTTTTTACCAAACCGATTTTAAAATATATTTTTCTTGAAAATGTTTTTTAACATTTTTTCTTCAATAATGTCAACTAGTTTCATTTGTCATTACTTTCGGTACAGTTACTTTTAGCGGTTTTTTATTTAAAAAATATATATATAAAAATTGTAGGGCAATAATTTTCAAAAAATACTCAGTCCTTGTTCGAACTAGTGTCAATGTAACTATTCTTGGACTAGTAACTTTTATTTTTTATTTTGTTTTAAAAATACTTGAATATTTAAAATAAAATTTTTTAGCAAATACTCTGTCTTTTTTCGAACTAGTAACAAAAATGATGTGTTTTTTTGAATTTCCATGTGCATCATCACTTCATTTCACCGCCGCAATTCCGAGTTTTCACATTTTTGCCACTTTCTAAATATACATTTTCGTTAACTAAATATTTTACAACTGCTTTTTGTGCTCTTCTCGTGATTGTTGTTTTTTTTTTTGTTGCTGTCATCAACCGCTGCTTGAAATGATGCGATAATAAATTTTTCCTGCGACCAACGAAATTTCGCATAATTTTCATTATCCACTGTCTTCTCATATTTTTTTTATTACGTACATATATCTAAAATGGTTCTTGTTGTTGGCTGTTGTTATTATTGTCATTGTAGAAGCTTGCTTAATGTGCACAGCTAGTAAAAATTGTATCTAACAGATACTTGAAATGCATAATAATAAAGTTTTCAACATCACGAGCCCAGCATAGCTCAACTCACCGCCTTCCGTCCGCCTCCCCCTCCTCCTCATGCCGCGGCGAAAAATACGAAAAATATGAAAAATACATGAGAAGTTCAACTATTCGCAGTTTCCTCTCATCTAGCGAGCCAATCAACTAACCACCGTATCGCTGCGGACTGCACTGCCTTGGCCCCATCTCCTTCCGCGCTCGACACGCATCGCATTTTGTGGATTTTTGTAAAGTTTAAGTACATAAAATGTTGGCACTTGCCCTTTTTGCTGCCCAACACCAAGTGTTGCTCTAACAATTTTATGCTTTATATACCAACAGGCGTGCATAGATACTTTTTTGCCGTTACTTTTTATTAAGTAGCAGCAACACTTTTCGGTTGTTTTGTTTTTGTTGCAAGTTGATGACTTTGTTATAGAGATACACTTACTTAGCTGCGAGGCGGAGCGGGCATTTACGCGCTTCACGCGACTTTTAAAAGCATAAGGATGGCAGCAAAAAAAAAAAAGAGAGAGTCGCGGGACGCTGAAGAGACTGGCAAGGCGATGCACGTGGGGGATTTTAGTTTTTTTTTTCGCGCTGTCAAGCAAATGAGCCAAAGGATAGACCACAGAGTGAATGACTCAATAGCGTGGACTCCTTACGGTTACGCTGGAGATGCGCTGTCTACGAGGGGAGAGCATGTGCTGCGGAAAGTGCTCCCGGTTCGTGGTTGGCCAACTGAATGGCTGAGAGTGTGCATTTAATAGCTTAACAAGCGCATGTATGTGGCAGTATGCGAATGAGTGGGTAATAAAATAATATAAAAGTTTAACAATTTTTACTACTTTTACACGCGTCGTGTGGAATTTTCTTTGAAGAATTCAGGAATGTGTAGCTCTTGAGCTGGCAGCAGGATACCGGCGTGTGTATACGGTTAGCAAACCTATACATATACAACGGATTGTGTGTGTGTGTGTATCACGTGATTTATACTTAAACTTCACTTCAGCATTTTTCGACGGGTTTGCAATTCCAACTGGTCCGTTTTGCACTAGTAAGAAATTGGTTTGAAATTTTGCTCTCGCTTTAAATTTGTATGTGAAAATGCATATTTACATTGGCAAAGCAATAAAAGCTATTTTTTAATAGAGACTAGTCCAAATTACACTAGCGTTATACCAAGTAAAATAACAAAAAATTCAAAGGAAGTTCTTAATAAAACTATATGAATGTTTTCACTAAAACATTTTCAATCTTTGTTCTTTTTTTAACCACATACCTTTTTTTAGAGTGCAAGTAATACTAGTCTCCAACTAGTGAAAATGTAGCCAAAGAGTTTTTTTCGCAATTGAAAATATTCGTAAACTTAACTGAATTTTTTTAGGTTTGAGAGATTAATATGTGCTAGACCGATTTATACTAGTTGACTACTAGTTAAGAATTAAGTAAATTTCGTTTATTAAATAAATAAAGTTTTTTAGACGATTCCATACAAAAAAATCCAGTCGAAAACCTTAACTCTTGATCCATTGTAGACTACACCGATCTGTACTAGTTTATAATTAGTCAAAATAAAAGCATATTTTTGTGCACACAATTTTTTATTCAGAAAAGACTTTCAAAATATGGTAAAAAAAATTCGACTCCACTTTGATTCCCTGTGAACTATGCCATTTTACTAGTTCTTAACTAGTTCATAACTAGTTAAAAAAATTTAAAAACCTTTTCTATATTTTTTTACGGAAAAAAAGAGAGAAAAAAACTTCTAAAGCAAATTTTTACTCACCGTTTTCGACACCTCTGTTATATCCACCGGCTTTACCCGATTAAGCTCTGCCAAACGTTTCAGCCGCTCACGGGCTTGCTCCTCAACAGCGATAACAAAGGCCTGCTGCACCGAATTGCCAATATCCCAGGCTGGAAAAGAAAGTACAGAAGAAATGGAAATTAAAAAGGCTGGAAGAAATTATTTTTCGAAATTTAATGGTAAAGATTTTGGAAAAATTTTTAAGTCTCGTTACAGAACTTAATGTAGATAAGACAATGAAATTAATGTACGAGTATTTCAAATGAGAAAGATGTATTCACAACAAATAACTCGGCTCCTGTACATTTCTGAGGGAAGCAATAATAGAAAATCACTTCCCCTCAACGCTTTGGAGCGGAAGTTCCCCAGACTTGTTCAATCACCCATCCAGCTCAGCAGCTTTCTCTATATAAATTCCAATGCAGTGACAGCATCTAAATTAGGCACATATGTGGCATGTTGCAACAACAACTACGCACCCAATAGCCGCTCAACAACAATTGGCCATTTGCCTACTTTTGCCGCCGCAAGTATTGCTACAGTTTACACATGCAACATGCAACTATTAATATTGTGCCACAGAGGTTTTGAATGGTGTCGAAGACAGGAAATTGTGTCAGACAAATTGGGTGGCAGGTGAGCTACCCGACCAGACTTAATTGCGGCGTTCAAGCTGTCGTATTGAGCTCAATGCCCGGCTTGCAACGCTAAACAGAGATTGACTGTGACGGCAGTTGGCCGGCTGGACGGCTGAACTGCTTGCTGAACGTTCGATTAGTGTCGTTGGCCGCAGCCGACTGTCGCAGGCGGCCACCAAAAGGCACTACCGTGCAGATTTTTCAGCAATATTACTGTTTGTACGAAAATTTCATGCTCTACAACTGTCGCAATGGCATGTAATTAAATGGAATGGAATGTCATTCGGTATAGGTCATGAAACAGACAATGGACTTTTAGAAAATTTGACTTTTGAATTTTTGCAAATATTTGGTGAAAGTTTGAATTAATTTATAAACTGTAAATGTACCAAAGAATTGAACAATTTTTTTTTAATTTCAATCTTAATAGAGACTAAGACTAAATTTTTTTTCAATTATCAAAACAAATATTTAAACCAGAAAGTGTTGCCTACATTCAGGCTCTTTGTACAAAATTTAGCGGTGACACACACTTTTAGCTAAATTGTTTATTTTATACTCATTTATGCAAAGTTACAAAATTTTACAATTAATTTCATTCAATTTATTTGCGTATTTTTCTAACTTTTTAATATTTAATAATAATTTAATTTAATTTGCCTAAACCATTTAGCATAGATTTTATAACACGTGAATAATAAAATACATATAAATAATTAAATATATTTTAAATAATTTATTTCCATGCAAAAGCTGTTAAAAAGCCATTTCGAGAAGAGACAAATAAATAAACCGCAATTACTCAGTATTTAGTTTCGCTCTCCATTGCAATCGCTGGCGCTCCACCTATTTGTTGTTGATTATTTATTAGCGTAATCCTTCGAAAAATCACATGCACATAAAACATTTTTAATTAACGTCGTTTCGCGTACAACATATAATTAAATTAAATAGCATTTATAACAATATTTAATAATAAATAACAGAAAATTAAAAAAAAAATACAAAATATGTCTTAGCAACTATTGCTTTTTTTCAGAGAAGCCACCTATTTTATGCTTTAAATATAATTTGAATGTATTGAGATACTAAATGATACCACGATGGGTAACAAACTGAAGAAAAGGTAAAGCAAGGCTGATAGAGAAAATATTTTTGAGCAGCGCTACCAACTGTGTAAAAATATGAAATATACTTTTAACGTTAGTTTAAAGCTAAAACGTATATTATTTATTGAAATAATTTCCAAAAATATAACAAACTTTCGATGGAAATTTTTCAAGAAATTTAAAAAAATAAACAGTATTAAATCTTTAATAAAAAATTATGCAAATATTTTAAATAAAAAATTATTTTATTATTAATAATATTATTTATTGTATATTAGCACTTAATATGAAAACAAGTTTGAATGGCAAAGTAAATTTAAACATTCTTTAAAAAAGGAAAAAAAATTTTATTAAAAAATAATTTCAACAAAATAAATTTAAAAAAAAAAAATAATTATAAAATAACTTCTTTCAAAAATTAGTCAAAAAACGATTGAAAAAAATAGTGAAACGAAAATTCTTTATAATATATTATTGGATGAGTGCATAAGTTCGTGCCCGATTCCGCTGGATGCCGTTCGAATCGTTTGAGAGTGGCGCTCGTGAAAGAAATATATACATTTTATATATCGTTGGAAAGGTGACAGTCCGAACTGTAAGTCAAGCATGGAAAAACTTCATTTTGATTTGCGCTGCTTAGTGAAAAGACGAAACAGGCACACGAAGGGGCGGAACCGATGTCGAAAGGTGGATTGCATCCGTTGAAGGTACTGCAGTGCATTTGGTGGGATATCCGAGGCGTGATCTATTTTGAGCTCTTGCCAGCTGGAGAAACGATCACTGCCAACAAGTATTGTCAGCAATTGGTCGATTTGAAGAAAGCAATTGATGAAAAACGTCCGATTTTGGCCAATCGCAAAGGAGTTCTTTTCCATCATGACAACGCCAGGCCACATGTTGCAAAACCGACCTTGGTCAAACTGAAGGAGATGAATTGGGAAATCATGCCGCATCCCCCATATTCACCCGACATTGCACCTTCTGATTATCATTTGTTTTGATCGCTGCAGAACAATTTGAATGGAAAAAAATTTAAAACTGTGGAAGACGTCAAAAACCACCTTGACACCTTTTTCAACGAGAAACCGCGCGATTTCTATGAATCAGGCATACGCAAATTGGTTGAACGTTGGGAGTGGATTGCCGAACATGATGGCGAATACATAATTGATTAATAAAAGCGCTTTCTTTAAAAAATTTCAATTGTAGTTTACACTTGAAATCGGGCACGAACTTATGCACTCATCCAATATAATAAAAAATATTGGCAAAAAGATATGACGAAATTTTTTACGTGTAAAAAAAACATTATTAAAAAAAAACAGTTTTAGAAATAAAAACACGTTCAAAAATAAATATTTAAATAATTTAGAGCAGTTTAAAACAACCTTAAAAAATTATTCAAATATTTTCAATAATAAAAATATCTTTTTAAATTATTTAGAAAAATATATTTAAAAAAAAATAAAAAATTAAAAAAAAGTACAGTGTAACTTTCAAAAGCCGTTTTATTATTGTAAATTTAATTTAATAATTAATTAAAAAAAAATAAACGGTGTTTGTAAGTGAAAAATTAATTAAACAAAATTTTGTGGATAATAAATTTTAGAAAAAAAATTCAAAATTGAAATGGTTTGAAACCCCAATATATTATTTTCAATTAAAAATAAATAAAATAAATTAAAAATAAACATAAATAAAATGAAATTTTAATTAAATTTTATTTTTATTTTCTTATAAAACGTACTCGCGCATTCGTGCTATTAACAATGAAAATAGTCTTGCTCGGCTACAGCTTTTTGCTGCAATTACAAATACACTGTATACAACTTTTCTGCATACTTATGTTCCTCCCCATTTTCGTTGTTGCATGCATTCGTGCGGAAATTAATAGAAAAATTACTCGCCACACTCGCCATTAATTCAAGGTGAAATGTTAGTAATGCACTTGTAAAACGCTCGCAAAACGCTGAGATATTAAGAAAAACAAAAACAAAATAAAGAAAAATAAAGAAAAATAAACAGAGAAAAATTTAGCAAATAAATTTTTTTCGCAGGCAAGTGTTGTTGCAATGCAGTCAGCCAACTAGCGCAGCAGCCAAGTCAACTTTCTAATATTTTCTTGTTGCAAGCTTTTTTTTTTTAATTTCTTTTTTTTCAAAAAATTCCAACAATTTCTACAATATCATTGATTTTTCCGCCGGCACTTACCCCCTCAGACTCTTTTTTTTTTGCTCTGTAAAAAAATTAATTGAGCTCCACACGAAAGTCGAACGCTGGCTGTCGCGCCGAACTGGGCGAAGGAATGTGGGAAACATAGCCGCCAATGGCAAGACAAATCAAAGCCAAGTTAAAACACGCTCATCTCACCTGCAGCTGCTGCTGGTAAACAACTGGTGGTTGTCGGAAACAGAAAAAAAACTGCGCTGCAGGCCAATGCCATAAATTCATGCAACCAACAACTTGCAACATTCTACATAACAACAGATACAGAGGCGAGATAAGAGTTTTCTACTTATTTTAAGCACCCGTGTTTAACGGTATGTGTGTATGTGTGTGTGTGCAAGTGCATAAAAGTAAAGATACTTAGCTGCAGATAATGCCAGAGCAATTGCAAGTAACATAACTGCATGCGTGCCACAAATGCTGCTAGTTGGATAAATAATTTACAACTAATGCAGCTGCAAATGGTTTAGTTTAACTTAGTTTTGTTGTTTGGCAGCAACAAAAAAATATAGAAAAATTTAGAAAAATATACAATTCAACAATGAAATGTGGCAGCGGGTTGCTGGCGTTGCTCGTTCGCTTAACTGATGACTGCGATTTGTCGCTTGTTGAAATTTCAACGCAGATGATCTCGAAAATAGTTTTAAAAAAATTAAAAATAAAATAAGAACAAAAAACAATAAAATTAAAAAATATTTTATTATAATTATTCGCTAAAAATTAACGCTAATAGTTATTACTAAGCCACTAAAAAATCGAACCCGTAAAAATGTTGCCTACATTTAGGCGCTTATTGCGATTTTAGCAAAGACATACACCGCAAAAATAAAAACGATAGTTTTCTGCGAAAGTTTTAACATTTAAAATTTACAATTATAGCATTTTCTTTTTTGAAATTTAATTTTTTCTCCAACAAACGAAAATTAAGATTATAATCTTGTTCCCTTTCCACCTCACAAGCCAGTCATCTTCGTCTTTTAACACCATAACTCCAGTTTTCTGGCAACTCAAACAGCATCTGGAGACCAGTAGAAGTGTTTAGAAGATGAGCGAAAGTTCCCCTATATCTCTAAAGTGAGCAACAGACAATTTACAGGACAAAAAGGTACTGGATAAAACTGGTAGTCTTTAAGTTTG